AGAAATGCAACCGATATAGAGGGGCTAGCAAAGCCATATGTCACCCACCACTGTTCGGAATCCAATATAATAGCTGGACATTCCACACACTTATGGACTACGCCAGAAATGCAGACCCTGCCGCAACATATGCGAGTCAAGGACTATCGGCACCATTTGGCACACCGGGAGCAACCAACGCAGCGTTCACCTAGGCAGAAACCGTACCCGAAACAGCCTAGGCGGCAGCTGGCAACCTGATGATGGCATTCCGACAGCTAATCATAATCCACTCGACGGAATCGGGGATCGAAACGGACAAGAAATATGACCCAAAGCTCATCAGGGAATACATAGCCGTCCAGCGGGAAAAGCACAACGCCCAAATCAGACTCCTACCGCATCCGATTCGCTTCCCGAACACCTTATGCAGACTGGAATCCTCAGAAGGAGGGTACACCATGTGGCAGTCCGCCATATTATCCTTTTTCCGGGAATTAGCAACGGCTCAACCTACGAACGCCGCCGTTATCATGAATAAGGCAACAGAATACCATTTGCCATTCTGATCTTAGGGGATCAGTAAAATGCCGCCAGAGAGGACCACGGATAGAAGACGAAATGGAGACTGGCTTCTCTAGGAAAAGCCCACTTTCGTGTTGTCCACTTTTTATTATTTTTTTTTCCCACTCACCACTTTCTTTACCCCGCACAAAGGCTGATTCTTCAACAAAAATCGGCCACCCAACAGATACAATATGCAGGGCACTCGGGGGCATATCGTGCACCTATCCACATTCATTTATTTTATCGATCCATGTATATAGCGACTCGAGATTTTAAAGTTGCTCCAGTGTCGGAACATGGATATTGTAATCATGCAATACCATAAACCCGGAACGGAACAAACAGACCCCCGAGTCACGGGGGAACAACTATATTAGGAACTCAAGTAGCTACATGAATCGAACACATTTCACACCACTTTGCACAACGTATATACTAAGAATCTAGGACGAACCATACCCTTTTCCAGTATATATAGTGCAACGTGTGAACCCTGTCCTTTCAACGTAGTTGATCGACAAAGTGCGAGTGCGAACTACTGGTATATTTGATCTTCCTTCTATATGTTATTCTATACTTCCTGCGTTTCTGCTTCTTTAAATATCGCCACTAGTATATCAAAGTCTAAAGGTGGACTTGGTTTAGTGCTATTATTACGGATTGTTACTGATTCGAAGAGTTTCTGGAAACGATTCATGAGCCTCTTATCAGAGATTCCTTTAGGTTCGTCTTATCCTCGCCGGGATAGAGCATCTGGTTGGATCGCCTGTTTCCCGGGTCGATATCGTAGCTTAAAGTCGAATTCGGCCAGGATGTCTGCCTATCTTATTTGTCGTTCGCTTAGATCCTGCGCCTTATGAAAATATCGTAGATTTTTGTGGTCCATTAAGACCACAAATCGCGGGACCATCTTTAGCTCTGGCTTCTATTCCTATAGCGCATGGATGATAGCAAGTAATTCCTTATTATATATCATATAATTGGTCTCTGTAGGTGAGAACTTACGCGAGAGATAGGCGCATGGTCTTAGCGTCCTATCTTCTTGTCTTTGGGATAAGACTGCTCCTGTCGCCCATCTAGATGCGTCTGTTTCCACTATTGTTTCGGTGTCTTCTCGGAAATAAGCCAATATTGGTGCAGAGATAAAGAGGTCCTTTAGGGTCTCGAATGATTCTTATTTCTCCTTGTCCTATTTAAATATCGTATCTTTCTTTATCAACTACACCAATGGTGTAGAGACGTCTGCGAATCGTGGTATAAATATCTAGTAGAAGTTAGCGAATCCAATAAAACCACGTACTTCTCGGACATTAGTAGGTGCTTCCTATAGCTTAATGGCTTCAACTTTCTTTAGGTCTATATATAGACCTTCTCCAGCTCGTATAATGAACCCTAGGTATTTCACAGAGCTCTGTTCAAATTCAGATTTCTCGATATCGCATTGAAGTCTAGTATCTCTTAGCTTCTAGAGCACCTCGAGTACTTTTCGTCTATGATCCGTGATCGATCTATTAGAGTAAATAATGATATCGTCTATATATACTAACATAAACTCGTCGAGAAATTCGCGTAGAACTTCATTAATATACCGTTGGAAGGTTGCGGGAGCGCCAGTCAGGCTAAAAGGTGTAACTAGCCACTTATAGAGCCCGTATCGTGTTCGAAACGCTATCTTCCATTCTTCGCCTTCCTATATTCTGATCTTATAGAAAGCCGCTATAATATCGAGTTTGGTAAACCAGCGAGCCTTCGATATGTTTCGTAGTGTTTCTTGAATCAGAGGTAGGGGGTAACGGTCCTTAATGGTTATGGAGTTTAACCCTCTATAATCGACACAGAATCGGATGCCTCTACCAGGTTTTCGTACTAATAACACCGGTGAAGCTGCTAGCGATTTGCTGACTTGTATAAATCCTTTTCCTAGTAGATCGGTAAGAGTTTTTCGTAGAACTAATAGCTCTTCTCTATTCATTCTATATAATAGCCTATAAGGTGGTATCGATTCGTTACCATTTCCATCGCGTGTTAAGGGTATCTTATGATCGATCCCTGGGCGATGGCTCGGAAGCTTGTCTACTTTCTCCTGGCTAAAAACATCTAACCAAGGGAGATATTATGGGGGAAGTTTAGCTCTCGGATCGGTGAATTTCTTAGGTTATAGCGCCTTATCGATATCATCTATAGTTACTTTGGCTATTCGGAGGTGGTCCAGCGACGAAACGCTATCGAATAGTTCTTTGATTTCTCCTATAGATGATTGCTGTACTTTCAATCTCTTTACTTTTATTAGACCGATTGACAGGTCGATATGGTTCCAACAACGAATGCGCTCTCCATTTCTCGAATAGATATCTAAATACCCTCGTTTCGCAGCGTAAACTCCGTCGACATCTTTTAACCAAGGCGTCCTAAGTATCATTTCATCTAACTATCTTAGAATGATGTAGGCAAAGACTTTCTGCTGTTGTAGTCTATTAATATCAAGATCGAAGTATATGGCCTAAGTAATCCGTCCTTGATTCTTGATGACTCTATTCAGGATTCGCGGTAGAATTGGGATATATAGAAGGTTAAGAGATTGCGCTAGGTGTCCGCTGATAGATATATAGCTATCGCTTCTGTTATCTACTAAAGTCTTCGCGAATTGAATTCCATTAACTCTAGCATCGATATAGAATGACGCCTCTTTCTTTAGCAGCTTCTCAACCCCCTTCTACTCCTGCTCGTGGTTTAGTATAGGAGCTAATCTTTTCCCGAATCATTCTCCGCTTTATCTTCTTTAATCGCTGGCGAATACTCCCTTCTTCGGGGGTGGCTTGATCTTGGTTCTTCGACTGCTGTATTCTGTACCACTACTTGGTTCGGATTCCGTGCGGGCAGTAAAGGGCATACGCTTTACTAATAGTTGTCTCGACCACATCGTAGATATCTCTTTTCTATACAGCGATGTTAGAGTTCTTCTTTCTCGACCTATTTTACACGTTTTCCCATAAGATATTAATCCTCTTTATAAACCTATCCCTTTTTGTTCACGAATCGGGACAAATTTGTCTATATGGTGTTCGTGTTTATTATTGGAGTCTAGTCTATCCTATCCTCTATGGCTGTGGTTGATTGATCTCTTTGGATTCGCTGGCGAGTAGATAACTGGCGTCTGCCTAATGCGATATTCAGTGTCTCGCTATCAGTATTGATTTCATGGAGCTGTGTGATAAGACCTATAAAATCATAGGGAACACCATAATTTATAAGCGAATTCGTTATATCTTCGTTAAGAGCATTTAGTAAGAGTTGTCGTTTTACTTTATTATGCTATTCGGTTACACCAGCATCTACGAGCTCTCTTTCTAACTAGGGAAGGAATCGTGAAAAAGGCTGGTCGGGCTTCTGTTTAAGCTGATGTAGACGCCGAGCTGCTCGTGATCGAGTATTAGGGTCTCTATATATCCTCTCAAGATATTCTAGAAGCATATATAGGTTGTCTTCGCTTCGTTGTGTCTTTATAAACGTTCTAGTGTTCTTGGCGGCCATTTTCTCTAGGCGGGAAAATATATAGAGGAATTACTCTTATAGGGTACCGATGGCAGCTCCGTCTACTAGTAATTTGTTCTCTATCGAGATTCTCTAGGTTGGCCAATCAGAGATGTTTCCTACATACATCGCGGGGTCGGGGAGACGAGGGCGAGGTCGTCGAATCTGGTTATTATCGCTGGTTGATTCGATTGGTATCCCTTATGGTTCCGTGGGTGGTTCGGGAGCGGCTCGCTCCTGGGACCGAACCACTAATTCTTCGAGTCTTCTAATTCTCTCATCGGTACTAATACTTATCTGACTGATGTGCTGCATCAACATCCTGGCCTACTCGGGTAGGCTCGACAGTTCGCTTGCAGTCATGATGATGAAGATATTCGTTTTCTTCTTGTGTTTGAATCGGATGCTTTCCGTCTTCAATTCGTTTATCGGATGCTCAACTAGATACTTTCTAAGAGCGATTTCGTATTCGTAGGACGCTTAATTAGATACTTTCTAAGAGCTTTTCGTATTCGTTGGTATGCTCGATCGGATTCTTTCCGAGAGCGATTCGTTCGTCTGTCGTATGTGGCTCGATCAGATACTTTCTGAGAGCGCTTTTCTTATCGTCGGTCGTGGGTTTTACTCTCGTTAGAGGAAGGATTTTGTATGTGAAGGGCTAAAGCTAATCTTAAATTCAGAACTAGCTAGGCACATGCTATTTACAAAATCCTTGAAGAACGTGAACAATTCGGGGTGGAATCGTGAGGTATGCGGTTGGTGGGTCACATGGTACAACCATGTGATAGTTCACCAGGATTCAACCTGTTACATAGACCGCTTGCCCATAATAGTAGGGAGGCATACTTTCCCACTACAATATGTAGTGAAGTTGGTGACTATGCCTAGGTACTTATCCCCTTCCTCACAACTGAGTTGAAAACCTAAGCCTCGCCTATATATTCTCCAAGATACTCAGACAGGGCGCCACAAGCATTCACGTTTTCATAGTTGGTACCCCAGCCATCCAACTCCGATATAGTCCGGTAGTAAAGAACGGAGGTCGCGGTCTTTTCCACCAATCCATACGTGTCTGCGTAACCTTTCTTGGCATAAGTCAACCACTTATTCGCAATAGCTTCGGCCGCACCTTCTCGATACGAAGAGTTAAGTATTCTGCCGGTGCCAAGCTGGAAAGCAATCTTGACTCCTTTCAGAGTTGATGTTCGCTTTTGTATAGTATCATTCATGTTGCCGAAGCCATTCAATGGGGCATGAAGCTGTGCAGTGCCATCTTCAAACGCAAGGAGGGCATAGTCACGACCAACGTTATCACCCTTCCTGAAATTGTTCAACATGTATTGATAGACCAAGCCTGGTTCGCTTGTATTTCTGCCTGCTCCGCTGCTTGTAGGAGTCTCATCTGTTATAGAGTCAAAATGATAGCCATAGGCTCGGAGGGCATTGTCAAGGCTTGGGTATTCATCATCAGCAAGAGATCGACGGTCCGGCCATGTTGTTGAAACGCTTCCAGAGAGATAAGCTGACACAATTCCATAGCCCTTCGTTGCTGTCGAGACACCCAATACAACATTGAGTCCATCGCTAACAGTGTCGAACAATTCCACGCAGTCATTATTCTTTGCGACTTTACAGACAAGCTTGAGGGCTGACGAAGTAGCAGAAGCATAAATAAGCCTAAAACCCAGCAAAATTCAATCAGTCAGTCATAGGTACATAATATAAACCCAAACTAGGTGGAAATCTTAGTACATACCCTACTTCCATAGTTGTCGTCGTATAAATTGCATGTGCTATCGTAAGGCAATCTGATCGTCGCTCTATCTGAGCTGGAGCGAGGTCTCGGCTAGAGATCTTTCTGTCATCATACATATCGAATGGCTCATTGTAATGAGAAGGACCAGCTACCGCTGTCCGGAAGAGAAACAGGGTGGGAATTATTTGGAAGAGCTTCATTTCAAGGAAGCAACTAGATGGATAGGCTCGTTGATCAAAACAATGAAACCTAACAGGTATATGGAAGGATTCTTCGAGTTTCCAAGTTTTGAAAATAATGGATAGTCATCTATCAAGGTGGTGGGTGATATTTATACCTTCCTATGTCTAATAACCCTAGAGTGCGCCCACCCGGACTTCCGATTCCGATCTTAGGAATGATCAATGGATGCTTCATCCACACAGTACACATGAATTCTCCAGGGCTTGATACTCATCCAAACCAAGCTTCATCCCGAGGTCAATAATAAAAACTTCTCGGCTAGTGTTCTACTATTCTAGAATAGGTAATCAGGATTCATTATTCCGAGTGGGCTCAGTGGAGTATGAGCCACTACGTAGTACCAGAGACCCATAATATATCCATAACTGATAAACTTGGCCTAAGAAGACGAACACGACCGGAACTCTTCCTCTACACCCGTAAACAGTCAATTCAGATATAAAGATATAATCGGTTATATGTGCAAGAAGTATATCCTAGATGCTTTAATAATTATATTATTAACATGATTTTACTTCATTCTGATAGTTGACAACATACCTAGGTACCTGTTCCTAACTAGGTAGGATTAAGGTATTGTGTATGCGACGATGTACAAGATTCCAAGGTTACAATGGCATGATATTTTTTTAAATTAAATAGCGCATGACTGCCACAGCAAGAGGATTGATGGGCATATCCACAGCTTGTCAATAGTCGTACACACTAAACAAGTACCAAAGAGATAGTACTTCGGCTGTATATCCGAACTAAGTATACTTTAAATTCGGAGTACACACAGTATCTCTGTTTTTGGATAATACTATGATTATATTTTGTATTGTTCTATTGTTCTTATCCAGAGATATCAACATTGGAATAAGGATGACTCAAAAAGTGGGGCCGCGCGAAGTGTGTGCCTGTTTATCTGTCAAGGCTACGAATCGGGCGGTAAACGGGTAAACGAATCAGCGTTGGTTATTCAGATATGTATGTGTGTGTAAGTAGGCTAAGGAGAATCTGGTCAGAATATAGCAAATGTGCACTCTTTTGTGGGTCGGCCACACCGACCCCGGAGTATCATTATTCCCGGTGTGGCCCGAAGGAAAAGTATGTGGCGGGTGATGACATAAGTGTGCTCTAATTGGATATTAGTTTACAAGTGTATTCCTTGAACACTCCGTTTTTTTCCTCACACTTTCCATCAATAACCCATTTCAATTAATTAATTAAAAAGTTAGTTTTCCATCCCCATCTTTCTATCCATCTGCCTTCTATCTATGCTGCCACTATGGCCAGGTTCCTTCGGGGATTGGATTAATGCATTATTAATGGGTTTTACAAATAGGATGCTGATAATCGCGTTATCGTTCATCATTGGGAGGTCTTTTGCCGTGTTCGAGATTGTCGAAAGTCAAAGCATGTTTAAAGGAAATATTACCTAGGAATGACTGGGTGCTGCTTAGACGATCCCGGTACTTCTGCTTCATTGCATACTGGACCTGAGAAATGATATTCCATTAATAATAGATTATAATGAGATGAATTACCACTTACACTCTGAACACTGCGTAAGGCCATGAGTTCTGAGCCCATTGCCATATGCACGATATAGGCAAAGCCGCCAACATCTGTTGCAGGGTATTCAGGTAGGTCTTCAATATACAAGACATAGCGAGTACAAAGCCGATTACGCCCACCACCAGCGATCAAATTAATAAGAAACCACGTTCTTAAAATCCATTATCAGCGCATTAATAATGGATTAATAATGTATTAATTCATTAAGTTTCATTCTTACTTGCGTCTCAGTCAAATCATCAGTATCAGGTGTGGCCCTAAGGACCATCTCTATCTCTTCACCAAGATCAAGCTCTGCAGCCATGATAAGGGTATATTTGTTTAAGGCTTATGTGGTGCAGCAAGTATGGGAATGGGTGGTATGATTTGTATGAAACGTATTGTATTCGCTTAGTAATATGGTCACCTGACTTGTGTGGCCTGAGGAAGTCTGGGTGTGGCCTAGAAAATTCGGTGTGGCCGACCCACAAAAGTGTGTGCAGACCACATGCAGACCACATCGGTACTCGAATCTGGTGACTAATTATACTAGTAAGAGCTGACTAACACAGACTAAACTAAATTGGGATCGGTCCTTTGAGTGACTACAGCTGCCCTGGACCAGGCAGAAAGCTCCTTCTTAATTAGGACTAGCCTATCGAGCTGACTAGGACCTGAAAGACCTAATTCGGACTAGCGGGTAATAAAAAATTTTCATCTCCTTACCTTTACAATTCAGCTCATTATGGCTGAAATCAACTGGGTACCTAATTGGGATTGTCTCGATTTGACGTATTTAGGCATTGATCCTATTGGTCTGAATAGACATGTGCATGGGTTGGGTATGGGTCAAAATTCATACCCATACCCAACCCATCAGGGGTAAGGTAAACCCATACCCATACCCAACCCAACCCACGTGGGTATGGGTTGGGTATGGGTCCCATATGGGTATTTTTGATGCCTTAATGCCTGATTTTCGCCTCAACCTAAACTAAATTAGGGTAATTAGTGCCTTAGTGCCTAATTTTTGCCTCAATCTAGTACTAACTAGGTGACAAATATCACGTGAAATAAAAGTCTTGGCAAAAAGATGGGTTTATGGGTTTTGGGTAAAATTTCTGACCCATACCCAATGAACATGTCTACCTTTGCACAACGTATACATATCGAACCCAGGACGAACCATTCCCTCTTCATATAGTATATAGTGCACCGTGTGAATGTCCTTTTCACCGTAAGTGAATCGACAAAAGCCTTCGACCGATCCCGGGAATATATGTTCCTCTGCACCTTGAAATCATCGATCTCGTCCACTCCTACAGTTACGTTGGGACTGCCTATGTTGAGTATATGATGCTTTTGAGCCTAGGTGGTCTTGACGTAGCATTCAGGGAGTTTGATCAAAATCGTATGGTCTCCAAGTTGAAAGAGTCACTATCAGCGACTTATAACCAGAACTCCATCCACAGAGACCCAGCCCCACGCAATTAGTATCTATTCACGTAGTTCTTTCCAACACCTAGGGCCTGTTCCGGAATTTCCTTACGCCCCTCAGAATTGCAATAAAAATTGCAATCGTTTGAATAATCCATGTGCGATACTGACGACATGTCTTTGAATCGATGCCACAAAACTTACGGCAACCGAAGCTGAATAGAGCGAATAATAATACAGCAAAAACGATAAGACTATATCATTGAGAAGAATCAGCGTGGGTAACTAGAAATCATGGTTTCAAGACCTTAGAAGTATTTACCGTAGAGCATCGCTTAGCATAGGGGATTTATCAGATAACGTCTCAGATGATTTCGTATGGGGACTTTTAGCAGAGGATAGCGGTTTTGAGGCACTGTTCCAGTAATTTTTTATACCCCTTATAATTGCAGGAAATATAACGATGAACTGGAGAGTCCACGAGCGATAATCATAACAAGTGTCCATATCGACATCAAAAAATCGATAACAGCTAAAGTCATATATAGCAAAAGATAATATAGTCAAAACGAAAAAACTAGGAATAATAAGTAATGTCAACTTGTTAAAATGATAATTAGATAGGAAAAACAAACCCCGCGAAATCGCTGTCAATTAAAGGCTCTTTAGACTCAGGAGGTATCGGATTATCAGACAGGGCCTTATCTGATTCCATAGGGGCGTCAACAGGAGAGGATGGTGATCTTGGGCCCATGCTGTATATTGAAAAATGAGACGAGATTCCAAGTCTCAAATCTTTAGAAATAGAGATATTATGATGAAATTTTGAGACTGAAGAGAAGATAAGGAATCTGAGACTGAAGTCAGGTCCACTGTACATAATAGGGGGAAAGACAGAATTTGTCTACAGGCCGCGCGTCCGGTAACATTAAATAGGTTTAGCGCTGTGAAAAGCTTTTCGCATCCTAATTTACAAAACTTTTCTAAAGATACCGGGCCTCCGTAGATATGAGTTCTGCAGGAAGGGGCCTATAGGTTCAAAAAACCAAACCTGCCCACTACGGGGCGGGGTTTTTTTTATCAGCTCACCTGTTTCCATCCCTGGAAGGTTCCCACTTAGGTATTATTTCAATCAATCTTGGAATATAATAGAAACTTAAAAAGCAGCGGACATTTGACCGAATACAGAGATAGCTTCACGCTACGTGGGTTGCTCTCTCCACCGTGACACTAGTGATAGATACTCAATTGACATGAGCTTGGTTCAACCTTGGGAGGCTTTCGGAGCTACGAAGGTCAAAGGACCAGATTACAGCTGCCCTGGACCACCGGTGAAGCCCCTTCCTAATCGGGACTAGGAAAAAAGGACGTGACCTGGACCTAACTAACTGAAATAGGAACATTACCAGGTGACTTGATGTGATATTACGTTCTATACTGTATTTTAATTAATATTTCAGACGAACCACACGTTAACTAGTTTTTAAGTAGCTATTAACCGATTAAAAGCCGCTTTTTCTTCCAACATAGTATTCTGATTCTTCAATGAGTTCATATTGAGTTACATGAAAAAAATTATCTATTTGAACTAATAAAAAGGCAGGGCTTGAAAAATAGAGATTGAAAGAATATTAAAGCTTAGAGTGTGTTTTCATTCATTTATTGTGAAGGGCTAAAGCTAATCTTGAATTCAGAACTAGCTAGGCACATGCTATTTACAAAATCCTTGAAGAACGTGAACAATTCGGGGTGGAATCGTGAGGTATGCGGTTTGTCAAAGGCCCGATTCCATTTATAGTTAGTCTATTTTAGTCAGCATTGGAATCCCACAATGAGATTCCTCCATTCTACAATAGATACACATACATACTTTGGTACGCATACTGCGTTCTCATTTGCCCACTAGAATCCACTATTCCTTGGTAGTCGACCTCCATTTGATAGTTATGAGCCTGGTTCGCCGATAATTTACCTTGAAAAG